GCTTTCATAGCCAATGCATCATCAATGTCTTGTATCCACCTTTATGGAGGTCGGCCTCTGCCACATTGTCCGGAAACTGTGCCTTCCATCACTGTTCTCTGCAGGTTACCATAATGTTTAACATGGCCAGTATTCTTCAGCTTTCGGGGCAAGATGGACAGGTAATAGAGGTCAATGTGGACTTGTGTGCTTGTGATGCTTATAACTTGAATAATTAAAAAAGACACAGAAATGAATAACCAGTTTGTGGGTGTTATCTGACAGAGGCCTTTATGCCGATCCAGTGTTTCTGGAGTGACTCCCGAGATTATCATGAGCTGTTGCGCTGTGGAGGATTAATGAGTCATCTCAATCGACAGCTGGCTTGTGAGTTTATCTGTCTCTGCTTAATTTGGACCACCCCTTATGTATAACCGTGATCCTTTTTAAACAAAAAAATATGTGTTGATTTGTTCACAAAAGATAATTGTATTTAATAAAGTCATCATGCAGATACAAAAGGCAATATTTAATATTTAACAGCAAAGCATTACTGCTGTACAAAGCTGTAACATGAAAGGCTAAAATGGTTACTAATTGAATACAAATATTCATTAACTGGTGGGAGTTAAAAAAACAAACAAATACAGGGTATCTCATAAGTTATCTTTCCTTCTTCTTCAGCGTTCCGAGCCCTTGAGGTTTATTGCTGAAGATATCACCTGCCTCCACTCATCTCTCTCGTTGACCTTCTCTTTCCAAGTGGTGACACCAAGTGTTTGCACATCTGTCTTCATCATCTTCTTGGTCTGCGTCGTCATAGGTTACCATATATAGGAGAAATACCATTGTTTTGAAAACACATTTTGAGATGGTTCTTGGTTATTCGTACAGCTTCTAATTCATCAGGTTTTAATGGTGATTCTTCTTTTTCTTTTGTTCTTTTTCGGTTTTTTTTTTTTTTTTTTTTTTTTTTTTTTGTTGTTGTGATTTTTAAAGGAGAAGGCCACAGGGGTGAAGGTTGTTGTGATGTCCACTGATCCGAACGGCTTGATTTTCACCACAATGCCAACTGGCCATACCTGAGATCTCTTTACTACATTCATGTAGCAAGCTTGTCTGAAGCACACTTTCTGTATTCTCTGGTGCCTGTCCACACAGACAGTTTCTGAATCCCAGATCTTGAAATTCTAGTACTTATGCAGAGTCTGTGTCCATTTCACAATCTAAAAACGGTATCTGTTACTTTCGTGTGGGGAGGTTGATTTGTTCTTCAGGATTATGTTCTGGATGGGAAGTGTTCCAATAACTGTCTTGATTTGGGTTTTATTTTACGCATAAGTGCATCCTATTGCTGGCTGTTCTGTTTTAGGTCTGTGGTGACACAACTGGTGACTTCAGAATGTGTCTTTCCAAAACTTAATTTTTTATATGTATTTTAGGAAATAGAGAAAATGTGTTGCTGGTCTATTCTGTAATCTAAATCTAGACAAACTAGAACAAAACAACTCAATTTCCCTTTGACTGCAGTTGATATCAAACACCCATACTCTGGCACAAGAGTTTAGATGTCGATAATCGAGATAAAAAAACCAGGTAAACTTGGTGGCACCAGTGTTTTTGGCCATTCAAAGCTCTGACCAGTTTGATGGTCTGTGAGAATGTAACCCATGGTAGTCTATCAAATGGTTCAGCCTTCTTGACTGACAGGCATTTAATGAATGCACTGTACCCCAAGAGGTGGAGCTTTCACATCTCTTAAATGAGAGTTGTTTAGAATGGAAAAGAGGAGGGGCTAAAGAAACAGACAACAGAGGGGCCGGTAAATTGAGACTTTGCCACGTCAACATGACATCACTGTAAGCTTCAAACCTAAGCTTTGAGTCAGAACTTTGTGGCATGGTGCTTTGATTTTTTTAGTTCCCACATGGGCAGGGACCAGTCAGCATCTGTTCTATGCAGATGGTCTGAGTGTATGACCTAGGTGACCTAGAGAGGATGGCAGGCTGGGAAAAGATAGGCAAGGTCTCAAATTGAGATCTGCCTGCAGTTTATTTTCATCTTGAAAGTTATGTTCCATTCATGTTCATAGCAATTAATGTCATCATAACACCATCATTACCCTACTATGGTGTATACATAGAACTCAACGAATTACCTCATTACCAGCGATGAGCTAGAATATCTTATGATTGTAAGATCTATACTGTCCATTTATTTTTCTTTAGATTGGTTCAGTAAAATATTGTTCAAGTTATTAACTCATAGTTTGTTAACTGTTGTTCATAGTTCCAAGTGGCTATGTTCATAAGTTGTATAATTCTAAAATTTAGTTTTGAAGGGTTTAACAAATCACTATCACACTTGCTGGGGGCATTCGTTAGAAATTAATACCAGGAGAGGAGAAAGCCGGAGGAGTTAACTGTGTATCTAGATATTCTCTCATTGAATTCTTCTTGATATCTAATTATCCCTGTTCCTACTGCTGTGAATACAAGTACGAGCAACATTTGTGTTTTCTTGGTTATCACAGGCTGTTTCTGAGAACAGCATAGCTCAGATTGTAGTCCAGGTTCTCACGTGGGTGTGCAGTGTCGGGGTTCAAACCCAAACACGCACCACTTTATTTTAAACAATATTCACGTGGGGGTCGGTGACAAGATCCTTAAAAAGGTGATTAAAGTTGAAAGCGTGAACATTGCACTGGGTTTATGCCATCCGGCTCAGTCTCTTTCCAGAATAGCTGACTGCCTGCCGAGAGTTTCTGGTTATTGTTGCGCATTATAGAACTGTTGATTTGTTTGTTGTGTTGTTCATGGAAGTGAGCTGACTTGTGATATTGGCATGTTCACAGCTGAGGTTTACCGAGCCCAATACAGTGAGGTACAGGATGACAGCAGAGCCGTGAAGAAATCATCAAAGGACGTTGGTAGGTTGCTGACCCTATTAAATCAGCAAATGCTGGATTTTGTATTCAGTCAGTTTTTAACATACGTTGGTAGTTGCTGACTATATTCAATTAGAGTTTGTCAGACATTGTGAGAATGTCTTGTTCTGCTGATTTGCATTCACCGGCTGTAAACTTCAGCTGAAAGTTCTGGTTGTTCGTCCACAGATCTGGCTTATTTGTATGCAAACTGTTGGAACCTTGCCTCTCAGGCAGATGCACTCTGACATTGAAGGAAACACCCCAGAATTATCACCCCCTATGAGTCTGTTCCAGAAGTTTTGCCTGACTTAAAAAATCTGCAACTCAATAACCATTGGGGTGTAAGTTGTTGAAGTTTGGCATACAGCCTGTTAATAATCATGTCCTAGCAAGAATTTTTTTTTACACGTTTTGTTTTAGTATCCAGAAGCCATGAGTTGTTAACCCTTAGGCTCGGTATTATGGATATCGCAACATTTCAGCCTTGATTACATTGTAAATACCGTAAATCTGGGAGAAATGTGGCTTTTCTGCCTACCCCAAGGAGTGAACCCGGACCACAAGGAGTTCGTCACCCACTCACCGCGCAATCCGGTTTAGCTAACTACGCTAGAAAGCTGGGCTTTTTTACATGTAAACAGACATCTAGTTTTCATTTGGCCTTATTTCCATATATGAATAAATAGTGATTCAAAGGAAACAGTCAGCACGCTTACAGTTAATTGAGTAACGGGGTCTTTTTAAAAACATCTACAGCATTAGCCTTCTGTGAGTTTTTAATTTTTCATTGTATGCTTGTCAGGCTATAAAAATAATATTTGCACATGTGAACTGATTTCGAAACAATCTCCACGTCTGTCTCATTTACTGTATATTCTATTTTTAGGGGTTCACAGATTAGTCAAAGATCAAAGAAGTTCGGCGCTTGAAGAAAACAGCAGCACCTGTGCAATAGTAAATTGTAAAATCATAAGGACATAGGACCCATCTAAGGACCCATGCAAAAATGTGTATTGATCCGCACAGGATTTTTTTTTAAGATATTTGTTAAAATGTTAGTGTATGACTTTTTAAATGCACTATAATACGTAGGCCAGTGAGTCTTTTATTTTTTCGTCTAAAAATTAACTACTTGGAGATTGAGTAGTTGTTGTACAACTAACAAGTTCAAGGTTTCAGTTGAGATATAACATGATTGCAGTTTAAATTGAGATATTACAAGCTTGTGGTTTTACTTGAGATATTACAAGCCTGAGGTTTCCATTGAGAAATTACACGATTACGGTTCTTGTTTTGGCAGTGTACAATTAACGTTATTCAGATATTTGTCTGGAGTTTGGTAGTGTTTAACTGGGACATTCTTCTACACTTCCTCATTTATGCACTATAATACGTAGGCCAGTGAGTCTTTTATTTTTTCGTCTAAAAATTAACTACTTGGAGATTGAGTAGTTGTTGTACAACTAACAAGTTCAAGGTTTCAGTTGAGATATAACATGATTGCAGTTTAAATTGAGATATTACAAGCTTGTGGTTTCACTTGAGATATTACAAGCCTGAGGTTTCCATTGAGAAATTACACGATTACGGTTCTTGTTTTGGCAGTGTACAATTAACGTTATTCAGATATTTGTCTGGAGTTTGGTAGTGTTTAACTGGGACATTCTTCTACACTTCCTCATTTAGCAGGGGGAAGATGTGTTGGGGTGGGGAAGAAGGGGGAAGGGGTAGACCCACTGCCTCCCTAACAAGCAGGTTGTAAGATTGTGGCTAATTAGGGGTTGCCTTTAAAGTTGAAGTGCATCTGCGTGAGAGGTAAGGAACCAAGAGTCTGCATACAGATAAGTCAGATCTGTAAAACTGGTGTGCACACAGTGCGCATGTTCTGTAACAAGAGTAAAGTCCAGAGCCGGACAAACAACCAGAATTTCCACTAGAGTTTACAGCCGGCAGCATGAAGAAGAAGAACAGTTGGTTAAATATTGAACCATAAAAGACAGTTGGGCAAAGATTCATAAATAAGTGACACCTGAAAGAAACTCGTCAAGCAGATTAATTCTTATGTATGTTGTTTTAATCTTTATGTATCCAGGAAAAAGCCTGGACGAGTACCCAAAACCTGAGATGCCAAGTGAGAATGGTTTGTTAGAAGTGCTGGACTCTCTGGTGCTTCTCTACCATATAGCAGCTCACAAACAGCTGGGAAAGGTGAGTACTAGTGTTCTACCTACATGGGACTTGTGAGGATTGTCATTGTCATAACTGAGACATCTGTTTACTGTCCTTGACATAACTGAGCTGTTTTGACCAGGAAGCCTTAGCCGATAAAAGAAAATGCCTGGGAGACGAAGCACCTGTTTGTTTGCAAGGATATATTAGTTTATTAATTAGTGTGTGCATAGATGACATATTTACCAGATACTGTAATTTTTCTAGTATTTTGTCCAGTTTGTATAGATTTGATTTGACTGCAGTGAAGTATGCTCCCATGCCATACTTCAGTTTTGGTTGTACGTATTATGTGTATACATGTCGTACAGTGTTGGCATTTGCCCCTCAGCTTGTTCCAGTAAGTTTCTTCATAAGCCTGAACCGCAGGGTAGCTTTCCTTTGGGTGTTGTCAATGTGGGTGCCCCAGGTAAGTGTTGTGTCAAATTTTACTCGCAGATATGTCAGGTTTTCCTCTTTTGGAAGGAGTTTGCCATCTGGGTAGAGATTAACTTGTTCGAGCTTTGTGGAAAGAGAAGAGAGTCGAGACGCTTATGGTCTGGTTTATTGTGACTCCCCTAGAGTTTGTCTATTTCTTAACTGTATTTATAGCTTCCTGCATTCTTGTTTTAGTTGGTCCTATAAGTTCAGTTTGGGTCCATATGGCCAGGTCATCTGCATGTAGGCCTTTGTGAATATGAGTCATGAACTGTTTTTGGGGGTCATTGATGAAAAGAATAAACAAGGTAGGAGATATAACACCTCCCTGGGGGACACCTTCTTGTAACCTGGCGACTTGCTCTTGTGCTCTTCTAGTCTGACTCTCGCACAACATCTGTGAAGAAAGTTTCTGATCCCGGCAAACATATGTCCTTTTATCCCACTGTGTGCTAGTTTTAACAGGAGTCCTTTCTTTAACACCTTATCAAAGGCTTTAGTCAGGTTGCAAAAAGTAGCTAACCCCTTCTGCATTCCACTGCATTATCTTCAGTGTTTTGATATTATTTTGGCCAGACGCATTACTCTGCTTAATCCTGGTCCGCTGATGCCCAGGTTCATATGCAACTAACTGTTGTTTTGTTTTTTGTTTTTTTAACTGAGGAAGGCGACAGTGCATGATTGGAAATGTTCTAAGTGAAATAATTGATTGATAGATAGATAGATTGATTGATTGATAATTCTTGTATGCCTTTTCAACTAGATGTGTGCATTGAGAGAGAGCATGCAGGAGTTCATAGTCAACCTGGCAGATACAGAGAGAAAGATCGTCAAGTGCCCAGATGAAGTGAGTACAGCTTACTAAAAATAATAATTGTATGTGGGTAATGTAAAGTAAAGGACCCTTTTTATGCTTTTAGGTGTATTGGCATGTAGGGCTAGACCTATATTTTATTGACCAGTTGGCACTCTGAGGGTGATATTCTGGCCATCTTCACCTCCTAGGATTTTACCTGGTGCCTGTTTAACAGCATTAATTGTGTGTGTGTGTGAGTCTGTAATTTGTGTTGTCATCAGTTCTGCAAGATTTTATGCATGTGATTAGTTCTGTTCTGTTTTCCTTCCCTCTGGGTTACTACATGAAGGTTTGACACCTGTAGATTACAATCACTTTGCTGTCAGTGTCAAACATGGACACTATCTGCAGAGGACAGAAGGAAAATAGTCACAACAGAAATGAAATGTTTATGTACATTACTAGGTATAACGAGGAAAGATCGACTTTGGAATGATGATATCAGGAGGAGAGTCGACACAGAACCAAATTAAATTTACTGGTAGACAACAAATCAAATGGTTTGGCCATGTAAAAAGATTGGCTTCTGACAGGGCACCCCAGAGAGCAATTTTATACAGATAACAATGGTAACATAGTCAGAGGTCGACCACACAGTTATGGACCGCAGAAATGTCAGAGACACTGAATAGTACTTTATACCAAGAGAACAGAAAGGCCTGATCCAGAGATCTCTTCCTGCCCTAATGCAGCAAGGCATTCCAGTAGTAAAGAAAAGAACGAGATTTCAAAATCCCAGTCTAGATGACAAACCAACAGGGCATATCCCAGATACCCCATTCATCCTCCAAAACAGTTATAACTGGGGCTGCCTTATTTCTAACACCAGCCAGGTGTAACCTGCATTTTTGTGCATATAAGAATAAGTGAGGATGATTGGTTTCACCTAGGGCTTTTTTTTTTGCTTACAAGAAAAGGTACCAGTACTCACCACAAGGTGTCTGAAAGCAGGTGCTGGTACGTACGACTAATATCTAAAAAAAAAAAAAAATTATGAACTGGTACTCACTTCAGTGTCTGTTACAGTGAATAAAGGAGTAAAGAACCCCTTACCCCGCCTTTAGGTGTATTGGGCAAATAGGGCTAGACTTTTATTTTATAGACCAGTCACATTCGATCTGTGATGTCAACATCACACTAGCTGCCTTAACTTCCCAGGACTTTACCTGGTTCCCATTTAAGGTTGGGTCGACCAGAGAACCAAGGTAATTTAAAAAAAAAAAAAAGTCTGGCTATTACTGTAGCACTGATTAAAAAAAAAAATGGCTTGTCATCACTGTAGGTTTTTGAAGTATGTTTTATATAAGACAAACTTTGTCCATTCTTTCGTTAAAGCTGCTTTTAAATTCCACTTTTGGTTATTCTCAATTCATGGTTAAAGCTGACAGAGGTAAAAGAACATTTGAGCAATGCCAGGAGTGTGTTTGAGGAGAAAATTATCGAGCAAGCCCGGCAGATGGTGTGGATTGCCAAGGTCATTTACTCCTCAGTAAGTTTGGTTTAGTTATTTTTATTTTAGCATACAGCCTTGTTATAGTACTGGCTTAGAGTATATGGTATTTTCAGTTCATAATGTAACTGTGTTGTATGTGCTGTAACCATTTGATAGGGTTATGTTAGTGATTAGTGAGGGTTATATGGTCTGTGCAATTATCGCCCAGGATTTGTGCTATGGAGAGGATGAACTTAATCCCTGGCCATAATTGGTGTCTGAAACAAATCGAGAGGCAGCAGTTACTGGTTATAAGTCCTTGTCAGTTGGTGTTTTGAGCTGACCTCTACGACAGTATAAAGATGTGTGCAAGCAGGACATGAATGATACAGGTATTGAGGTGAACTCATTTGGGGGGGGGGGGGGGGGTGTGCCATGGACCATGTTGTGTGGAGGAGGCACATCAAGAAGGGATTGAAAATGAAGGAAGAAATGACTGCAAAAGGATGAGAGCTGAGTGTCTGAGAAGAAACAGAATAAACACAAATTTTGACAATAATGGTCCTGAAATCCCATACTATAATTTTGGAAGACTGCGTAACATGGGCGGGGTCTTGCCAGTCACACTGGCTATCGCCATGGACTGTGAGTCCCATGCCTCCTCAACGCATAATATAACACTATCATGTGCCAATCAGTGAGGACTATCATCACAGCACTCTGGACAGATTCATAATATGTTCCATGGTTGTATTGCTGTTTAATAGTGTATAAAATATTATTATGGTACTGTTTTAGAGCATATATGGGGTTTTGATATTATCTTAGAATGCATACCACATAGTTGTAGTGCATGCTACAACATGGTTATAGTACTCGCTACAACATGATTATAGTACTCGCTCAGAGTACATACAACATGTTTATAGTGCTCAAGTACTTTAGTTACATTTCATTATAGAAGAGAACATACACCGTCTTATAGTGCTAGCTTAGAGTACACCTGACATGATTATAGTAGACTACATGTACCATCTTTATAGAGCAGGCTTAGAGTACACATGACCTGGTTATAGTAGAATACATGCACCATCTTTATAGAGCAGGCTTAGAGTACACATGACATGGCTATAGTAGAATACATGCACCATCTTTATAGAGCAGGCTTAGAGTACACATGGCATGGCTATAGTAGAATACATGCACCATCTTTATAGAGCAGGCTTAGAGTACATATGACACATTATAGTAGAAACATGCACCATCCTTATAGAGCAGTTTTAGAGTACATATGACACATTATAGAGGAATACATGCACCATCCTTATAGAGCAGGCTTAGAGTACATATGACACATTATAGAGGAATACATGCACCATCCTTATAGAGCAGGCTTAGAGTACATATGACACATTATGGAAGATTACATGCACCATCCTAATAGAGCAGGCTTAGAGTACATATGACACATTTTGGAGAAAACATGCACCATCCTTATAAAGCAGGCTTAGAGTACATATGACACATTATAGAAGAATACATGTACCATCTTTATAGAACAGGCTTAGAGTACATATGACACATTATAGAAGAATACTTGCACCATCCTTATAGAGCAGGCTTAGAGTACATTTGACACAGTTATAGTCGAGTAGGCTTAGAGTACACATGGCACAGTTGAAGTAGAGTACTTGCACCATCTTTATAGAGCTACCTTAGAGTACACATGACATGGTTATAGTAGAGTACTTGCATCATCTTTATAGAGCTGGCTTAGAGTACACATGGCATGGTTATAGTAGAGTACTTGCATCATCTTTATAGAGCTGGCTTAGAGTACACATGGCATGGCTATAGTAGAATACATGCATCATCTTTATAGAGCTGGCTTAGAGTACTCATGGCATGGTTATAGTAGAGTACTTGCACCATCTTTGTAGAGCTGGCTAAGAGTACATCTGGCATGATATAGTAGAGTACTTTTACTATGTTTATAGGGCTAGCATAGATTACACATGACATGGTTATAGTACAGCCTTTGAGTTAGAGTGTAGGTGACAGCCTTCATTTTGTGCCAACATCTCTTTGAACAGTCCAAGCAGAGAGACATTGCCTGGCTGTTGAACGTGGTGCTGCGGACCATAGAGAAAGCCTCCACCTACCAGAAGCTATTTCAGTACATCCCAGAGTTTTATATTGAGACGGCAGTAAACACTTTCAATGCCCTGAGAAACTTCCTGCACCCAACGACTCCTTTTTCTCAGATACCAAGTATGTGGCATATTTGTGTGTGAGATCTGTCTGGGAACCTGTTCCTTATTTCTCTGTCCACTCAGCATATAATGCTCCTCCCCCCTCCCACACCCTCCATCCATTCACCAAGCCATGTTCTTTTTCTTGTTTTTCCACTCCTCATTCCATGTTCTTTTTCTTCTTTGTCTACTCATCATGCCGCGTTCTTTTCTCTTTTATCCACTCATCATTCCATGTTCTTTTTCTTCTTTATCCACACATCATGCCATGTTCTCTTCTCTTTTGTCCACTCATCATGCCATGTTCTCTTCTCTTTTATCCACTCATCATGCCATGTTCTCTTCTCTTTTATCCACACATCATGCCATGTTCTCTTCTCTTTTATCCACTCATCATGCCATGTTCTCTACTCTTTTATCCACACATCATGCCATGTTCTCTACTCTTTTATCCACACATCATGCCATGTTCTCTACTCTTTTATCCACTCATCATGCTATGTTCTCTTCTCTTTTATCCACTCATCATGCCATGTTCTCTTCTCTTTTATCCACTCATCATGCCATGTTCTCTACTCTTTTATCCACACATCATGCCATGTTCTCTACTCTTTTATCCACACATCGTGCCATGTTCTCTACTCTTTTATCCACTCATCATGCTATGTTCTCTTCTCTTTTATCCACTCATCATGCCATGTTTTTTTCTTAATGTTTAATCAACATGTCATATTATTGTCTTCCTCTTTGTCAGTTCAACTTGTCATGTTCATTATGTTGTTAATTTTTGTTTGGTCCACTGATCATCTCATGTTCTTTCTTTTCTGGTCTTTGAAAATTTTTTTTATTTTTTATTTTTAATATATTTTAAACCCATACACATCATATTGTCTTTTGGGGGGAAAGGGGAGGGGGGGGGGGGTGTGAACCCACTGAGAATTCTTAATGTGTACTCAAGTTGCATATGTTATGCTTTTCCACATAACATGCAATTTTTTCTTTTTCTACTATTCAACATTCCAAGCACGCATGTGCACACACACATGCGCGTGCACATGCACACGCACACACACATGCACGCGGGCACACACATACATCCTATCTTGGCTTTTTTCTTTTTCCACTGTCCAGTTCTTCTAAACAATACTGCCAGCCCCTACATGACAGTTGTATGGTGTTTCAAATTGATGTCTCTTGGCCAAGATGTATCTCTTCTTCTTGGTGTTCATGGGCACTAAATTCCAGTGTAAAGTTTATGGTTATTCCTCCACACATCTGGACTTTAGTCTTGTTCCAGAGCTTGAGTTTTGTGTGCATATCCATTTTACAGATCTAGCACAGGGCTGAATGTAAGACCGACCTGCGTGCCAAATTTGTGACCCTTTGAAAATGAAGTTTGTTTGTTTGTTGATTTATTCGTTCACCTCTCAGGCAGGTGCACTCCGACTTTGATAGAAAGACTCCCCTAATAAGTCAGTATTTATGATGTGCCTGTTGTGCGTCTGGTGTCCCCCCCCCCCCCCCACCCCCACCCCCAAAGGAACCCTGGAACCCACACTGGGAGCCAAAAATATATAACAGAAAGCAAAGTAGACAGAACATATTTACAACAGCAGTAGTAAATCCACAGTGAATATTGTGTGTGTTTCAGATTTGCAGCCGCTGCTTGCTCGTTATGCCACATTTTTGGTGACCCACTTCTTTGATTCAAGGCTAGTCAGCAATGGTAAGCTTAACCTTTATCTACTTTGAATGTTTTAATTTGATGATGTTGTTTTTTAATCCCTTTCTGTCACACCCATTTCATTTTTGTCTCTTCTTCTTCTTGTTCTATGCTTGCCCTCAGTATTCCAGTTGGTATGTTTAGTTGTTTTACAGCTAAGCTGCGATACCTACACCTTTTACCCCAAAACATCCTGTTTCAGATAACTTTTAATTAATTGCCTTTTATGAAAAATAATATGGGGGGGGGGGGGGGGGTTGTTCCCTCTTCCCAAAATGGTGGTCATAGAACCCACATGGGGAATTTGTGTCTGGATACCTACGGTTGAAATGAAAACATGTTACAGTACATGTGCAGGATACAGCAGTCACATGTCACATAGTTTGTGCTAGACGTAAAGAATTCACTACAGATCACACAGTTTGTTCCAGATATAAAGAACTCTGGGCCATCCTCCGAATAACGGCCACGTATTATGGCGGCCACAAAAACACCCTAACAGGGCCTCAGTCACATGTAAATTGCGGACATCCGTCGACTTAAATTGCGCACTTTTGACGACTACCGCCACCGCCGAGAGTAACTTCCACATCAGCAGCTTGCGCGTCTCCTGCAGCTTTGCTCATGAGTCCCAGTCATCTAGTTTAGCCCCAATTCACGCCGTGCGTAGTGGCGTGGGAGATACTCTCGGTGGTGGCGGTAGTCGCCGGAAGTGCGCAATTTAAGTCGCCGAAAGTCCGCAATTTACATGTGACTGAGGCCCTGTTTTTGGCTGCCATAATATGTGGCTGTTATTCGAAGGATAGCCAAACTCTGTTACAGATCCCACAGTTTGTTCTAGATATAAAAAACTACTACAGATCACAAAGTTTGTGCTAGATGTAAAGAAACTCTTACTACAGATCACGTAGTTCTGGATATAAAGAACTCTACTACAGATCACAAGTTTGTGCTAGATGTAAAAACTCTACTATAGATCACACAGTTTGCTCCAGATATAAAGAACATTCTGTAACAGATTGCACAGTTTGTTCTAGATATAAAGAAAATTATGTCGCAAATCACACAGCTTGTTCTCTAGTGCAAGATTCTCTTCCACAGATTTGAAGGACACCTTGGTGCAAGCCTTGGCCTGTTTCACATGTTACCCTGACACTTTGAAAGTTCTAGAAGAGCTGCCCATGGACAGGTCAGTGTTTTATGGTGTATTTCTGACATACCGTCTTTCCCCAAGAATAAGACAATCCCATGCATAAGATACACCTTGATTTTGGGACCGGGCATTTTGGAAAACAAAGAATATGATTACACAAAGATATATTAATATCATTGTTTAAAACGCACGCTGTGTTGAGGCCTTATTTTTGGGGGAAAGTAAATATGTCTTATACATAGGGAAATATGATATTTATCTTATTATAAATTCTAGTTTTTCCTTGCCATTGTACATTCATCATTTTGCCTCCACTTTCATTGTTTCCTTTTTGAGCAAAATAATGAGTATTTTCTCCTACACCTGGCTATTGTATTTCACTAAAATCTAATATATTTACATTCCTTTTTTTTTAGCTTTAATGCTTGATCTTTTCCATCTTTTCTTTTTATAAAATTGATTTAGCATTCCATGATGAATAATATGGCTGTTTTGGATGTTTAGTTTTCATAGAGTTTCTGAAAATTTAAAATGTCACAGACTTTGAATATCTAGGTTCCATAATAAACAGCAAGGGAGACCATTCAAGAGAAGTCAAATGGAGGATGGCCATAGCAATACAGAGATTAAACAGCATTAAAAGCTGGTTAAGCACCAGCAAGGAAATCAAAATTAAAATGTTGAGAGCATGTATCTTCCATGTAGCCACCTACGGATGTGAGTCGTGTATTTTCTCCCAGTCTTTAAAGAAGAAAATAAGGGCTTTCGAGTTGAAATGCTATAGAAATATTCTCATAATACCATGAACAAAGCAGGAAAGAAATACTGACATTCTAATACATCTGAACATCAAGGAAGACTGGCTAATGCTTGTCTCGGAAGCTGACATATCTTGGACATATCAAGCACCACGCCGGATTGGAAAAAATAATAGCAGAAGGCTTGGTACCAGGAAAGAGGGGCAGGGGCTGACCAACATGAAGATGTTGATAAGACATAAGTGGCTCCTTGGATATGAAAGTGCATGAGGTGGGAGAGCAGGCGAGAGACCGAGTGGCTTTCAGACAGACCGTGGTAACAGTGATGGTCTGCTACATGAGGATGACTGTGGACTGATGACTGTGGACTGATGACTGTGGACTGATGACTGTGGACTGATAAAGGCTGGGTGTCACCTGTAGCTCATAATCCTCCATACAAGTCGGGGGGAGGGGTGGGGGGGGGGAATTTCTTTTGAAACTTCCATTAACATCATTAAATAATTCCAGTTTGTGGAATATCATAATTAACTTGGGACAAATAGAATAGTGGTTTTCTCCCTCCTCTCACTACAAGCTTTTTGAGATCACAGGATGGGGAGAGGCATGGTTGGTCATGCCAGTCTCAGAGGGCACTATGTGATGTTGAGAGTGAAAATTTTGCTCTTTTTTTTTTTTTTTTTTTAAATTTGACATTCACCGGCTATACACCCTGGTGAAACATTCTGGTTGTTCATCCACTTCTGGACTTTAGACTTGTTCCATGACTTGAGTTTTGTGTGCACATCTGTTTTACAGATCTGGCTCATTGGTTTCTTGCCTCTCAGGCGGATGCACTCTGACTTCAAAGGAAGTCCCTAATTAGTCGACTCATCATATGCTTGTTTTTGAGGCAGTGGATCTGTTCCCCCCCCCCCCCCCCCCCCCCCACTCCCCACAATTGGGCCCCAAAATCCACACAGGGGATAGAGGAAATAATATTCATTATGTTGGTGGATCGGGGGGGGGGGGGGGGGGGGGTGTGAGACTGGAACGAGAAATAAATAATTGTGAGAGCACCAGAAGACAGAGAGAGAGAGAGAGCAACACATGAATGGTATTTAGTCTGTATTATTGTATCTTTCCCAGACGAATTTGTATGATCCAGTCATTGATATCTCCTTACGAGAACAGGTCGTGGGCACACACTAACTGGATTTTAGTCAGAATATGGAAGGTTTGTCTGGTAGTTTTTGTTGATCTTTCTCTGTATTTCAGTTGTAATCTTAATTATCATCTCACAATTTGTGTCATCATAATCTTTAAAGTTCACAACCTCTTTTGGATTTTCTTTTTTGAGATCACGATACTTTGTAACAGTGAATTCTCCATTCTGTAAGATCATTCGGTACTTCAAGACAGTTAGTTACCTGTCAGTTTAAAAGATCTTGAAACGTGAATAGATATGAACTAGAGGCCCATTTCATGTAGCTGAGATAGATCAAAGCCATGTTGTTCAGATAAGTGAAACCGTATGGTTCATATTGGTCAGATTAAGTGGTTCAGATTTGTCAAACCAAGTGTGGTTCAGATCGGCCAAAGCCAGGTTGTTCAGATTTCAAACGAGTCAAACCATGCGGTTCAGATGGGTCAAACCATGTAGTTCAGATGGGTCAAACCATGTGATTCAAGTGGATCAAACCAAATGGTTCAGAAGGCAAAAACCGTGTAATTCAAATAGGTCTAACCAAGTGGTTCTGATGGGTCACTCGTTTAATTCAGATGGGTCAGATCAAGTGGTTCAGATGGGTCAAACCAAGTGGTTCAGATGGGTCAAACCATGTTATTCAGATCGATCAAACTGTGTTGTTCAGATGGGTCAAACCATGTGTTTCAGGTGGGTCAAACCATGTGATTCAGATGGATCAAACCAAATGGTTCAGAAGGCCAAAAAACATGTGGTCCAAATAGGTCTAACCAAGTGGTTCACAGATGGGTCAAACCATGTGGTTCAGGTGGATCAAACCAAATGGTTCAGATAGCTCAAATCATGTGGTTCAATTAGGTCTAACCAAGTGGTTCAGATGGGCCAAACCATGTAGTTTGAATGGGTCACCTTTAAGGCGAGGAACCAACAGTCTCCTTACAAGTAATAAGCCAGATCTGTAAACCAGAAGTGCACACAAAGTCTGAAGCATGACTGAGGTCCAGAAGTGGACAAACAAACCAGAATTTTCCATCGGAGTTTACAGCCATTAAATGTAAAGAAGAAGAAGAAGAAGAACTGTGTTATATAAATCAGGGCTATACAACTAAATTTACTCAGGGGCCAAGATGTTGACTTAGAGGATCATCACAGGCCAGAGACCCCAGCCCCAACATAGAAAGATCATTAAAACAGTACACCTGGCAGTTATCAGCGGGCCACTTGGCAGATTTGGCCTGCAGGCCACATGCTGAATTGCCCTGATATAAATCATGTCATATCATATCGTACTGAGGAGCACGCGAAGGGTCAGGACTCCGAATACCTGTCTAGACTGATGGATGTGGAAGGCAGCCTGAAGTTGCAAGAAATGAACATTTCACTAAGGGGACGACATTTCATTAATCAAAACAGAAAAGGCGTTATCGGTCGTTTTACTCTTGTGGAGCTTTTGAGGAGGAGGTCGGAGCACCTATGGATCTGTTTAAAGTGCTGTGATGATAATCCTTTCTAATCACTATCACTATGTCAGCTGGTGTATGTCAAGACATATTTATAAATCTTTATTTAGTTGATTTTTGTTTGTTCAACTTGCCATCAGGGTTGTGGCTTTGGGTATCGTTACCGCTGCCTACCTAACCTGACTCCTCACAAACCTCAGCCAACAGAGTTCAGCTTTGTCAGCCTGCAGGGTAAGTACTACATCCTCATCTAAGACAACTAATCTTCTTCTTCTTCTGTTCTTTTTACCCCAATAGAGCATAGGCCCTCAACCAACTGACGCTAATTTGTCCTATCTTTTCTATTCTTCTTCTGTTTTTTTATCCCCTGATAAACCAACACACCTATCTTTTCTATTCTTCTTCTTCTGTTCTTTTTCCCAAGATGAAGCATAGGCCCTCAACCAACTGGCGCTAAATTGTCCTATCTTTTTTTTTATTCTTTTACTTCTTCTGTTCTTTATCCCCTGATGGAGCATAGGCCCTCAACCAACCGACACTAATTTGTCTTATCTTTTTTTTTCTTCTTCTTCTTCTTCTGTTCTTTATCCCCCGATGGAGCATAGGTTCTCCACCAACTGACACTAATTTGTCCTATCTTTTCTATTCTTTTTCTTCTTCTTTTCTTTATTCCCCGATGGTGCATAGGCACTCAACCAACTGACACTAATATGTCCTATCTTTTCTATTCTTTTTCTTCTTCTTTTCTTTATCCCCCGATGGAGCATAGGCCCTCAACCAACTGACACTAATTTGTCCTATCTTTTCTATTCTTCTTCTTCTTCTTTTCTTTATCCCTCGATGGAGCATAGGCACTCAACCAACTGACACTAATTTGTCCTATCTTTTCTATTCTTATTCTTCTTCTTTTCTTTATCCTCTGATGGAGCATAGGCACTCAACCAACTGACACTAATTTGTCCTATCTTTTCTATTCTTCTTATTCTTCTTCTGTTCTTTATCCCCCGATGGAGCATAGGCCCTCCACCAACTCACAATAATTTGTCCTTTTATTTGCTATTCTTCTTCTCCTTCACCTTTAAAGGGGAGTTTGGTACTCTCTGTTGCGTTTTACAGCAAGGTTGCGATATCTGCACCTTGGAGCCCAACACATCTTATTTCAGCAAACTCTTAATTAGTTGTTTTGTACAACATCCTTGTTAAGGGGCAGTAGACCTCCCCCCCCCCCCCCTTCCCCACCCCCACCTAGAATTGGGAAGGAAAAGGCGAAACAAATTATTGATTTAATAATTAACCTCATAGCACACCAGGTATAGCCATAGATGCTCCATCTCTCGCAACATATTTCTTCTTTTTGTTCATCAGAGTGACGTAGATGTGTTGTGCCTGTTTACAGCATGGCTGTGATATTTGTGCCTTTCGGCCAACACATCAGACTTCCTTAGCATTTGTTGACCGGTTTAACTTCCCAGATAATTTTGAGGGACATAATTTATTTTGGGATTTTTCTTTGTCCCATTATCTACAGGTGATGCCCCTGGAGAGCTCGTTCGGGGCATCCGTGTGTAGATTGGTCGGCCCTTAAGGGAAGGCAGGGGCAGATCATGGGCATTTCCTGCCATCCAAGGAGGCTTTCATAAATGAAAGAGCTGACACAGAGCACTCTAGTTCTGTGCTAACATAAGGGATCGCCATGTCCTCCATATGACTGCTTGAACTCACATCTGTATGTTGAGCTTTACACTCATAACGTGCTGCGCTTTCTGTTGATCAGCAGGAAGCAGCTCGCAGGTCAGGAACTTCCATGATGACACATATAGGTGCATTTTTATTCAGCATGTTAGACACCTTTAACGTTGGCAAATGTCCCAAGGTGTGGATGCTAACTGTTCTCGTAGCACACTGATTATACACACGTCGTTCTCTTCCTCTCATTCATCGCTGCTTGACAGATCCACTCGTAATTCCTTGCCCACACATTCTTACACAATTGTTATTTCATCTTTTTCTTATTTTTAATCTTATTCTCAATTGAACTGCCACAAGTAGACATGAATACCTTATTGTTACCTGAAGTGACCAAGATTTTTACCTCTTCATGTCATATCAGCTGACTATTGTCATAGGGAAACATTTACAGCTTGGATCTACCTGGAGTGCAGATATGCTCCTTCAGCTTCTTCTTATTTGGTTCACTTAAAAAAATTATATCTGCAATGCAGTCTCTGGTATGAACTTCACTGTCTTTTGTAATTCACTTAGAAACCTTTAAAGTTTTGCTTCCATCAATGTCTCTCTTGGCCAGAAGTTTTGCCTGGAAATGTTGTAATTTGGGCAGTCTTGGAGGATGTGATCTGTTGTCTCAGGTGCCAGTCCACGTGTGCACACGGCTGATTCACCAATCTTAAATTTTGTTTACATGTTGCAGTGAAATCAAATGTGCCCTGTTCTAAGGTGTAGATTAATGACGCGCTCTGGTCTGTCCATAATTGGTAATCGTTTTGTGCCAGTTTTGATGGCTTTCTAATCAATTTGTTTATTCTCTTTTGCTGATGATAAGAGACTGGTACACCAGGTTGTTCTTCGGTTGTGTAGATGTGCTGAACTGCATGTAATCGTGCATCAAGACCAGAGCTCATACTGGTCAGGACCTGTCTACACTTCTCTCCAGTCATCCTAGAAACATGTTGCTATTCAAGAGCCTTAATAACATAGATAGGATCAATGTTTCCTTCAAATGTGAGAGTTCATCTACCTGAGAGGCAAAGACCCAGCAGTCTGCACACAAACAAGCCAGATCTGTAAAATGGATGTGCACACCTCACACAGATCCTGGAACAATACCAGAGTCCACAAGTGGATGAACAATCAGGACTTTCTGCCTAAGTTTACAGCTAGTGGACACGTAGAAGAATCATCTACCCAAACCGGACAGACCAGAGCAAGTCATTATCCTTCGCCTTAGAACAGGGCACAATCGACTTCGCTGCCACATGTACAACAAATTTAAGATTGGCCAATCGGCCATGTGTACTTGTGGACTGGCACCTGAAACAACAGATCACATCCTTTAAGACTGTCCCAGATTCAACGCTTTCAGGCAAAACCTTTGGCCAAAAGAGAGACTTGTGGAAGTCAAACTTTACGGGCCGCTTAGTGAATTACAAAAGACAGTGAAATTCATACTAGAGACAGCTTTGCAGATATAGACAATTTATTTCATGCGAACGAAAGAAGAGAGAAGAAGATCTACCCAAACCATAAAAAGTACAGATATGTGACTTTTTCTTCTTAAAGTCTATGCCATATGGCGTTGATAATCATGTCTATCCACAACCTTCTGTCTTGTGTCCATTCAGTCAACTCTGACACAGACAATCCTCCATGCCATGATGTCAAACTGCCCGGCATCTTTTCTCTTGATCTCTCTCTGCCTCTCCTTCCCTCCAGCTTTCCTACTGTCATGATGTATTTCTTTTCATCACATGACCAAAGAATTTTCACTAATTTACCAACTGTCCAGAATTCACTTCCATATATCAAGATAGGATTTATATAGCTTTTAAGAATTCTTTTTCTCCTCAGAATTGGAGAGAAAAATTGCACAAAATATTTGTCATTTTGTAAAATGTTGCCTTTGCTTGAGCTATTCTACATTTAACTTCTTTAATACATCTTCCCTCTGATGTTAACCTTTTCAATGCTATACTAATATAAAACTATATCATCAGCATATCGCAGGTTGTTAAAAACATGCCCACCAACCAATATTCATGGCATACCATGTGTGGATCTAATTATTATTTCACTGTACAAAGTGAAAATCGTGTGATAGCTCAAATATCTTGTCAAACGCCTTGTTTAATGTTTTGAAAAGTTCCAACTTGGTTGTCTATCCTTATGGCTGCTTCTTGTTCCTAGTAGTGTTTTTTTTTTTATTCTCAGATCTTTACCATCGGTGTTTAAGGTTTCCAAAATTCTTATAGTTTCTCCATGTTTCACTTTATCAGATGCTTTAGTTATACATGTGACATCAGTGATTACAAAACTCCGTTAATTCTGTGTCTTGACAGAGCCCTGTCCCTCGCAAGAGTTCCAGAGCCTTCTAGCCAAAATCCTACTTGATGACGAAGCTAGATCCACCAAGTTTCTGGACTCCTTGATGAATCAGTTGAACTGGTCATTGTCCGAGTTTGTTGGTATAACACAGGAGGTGAGTGTCTGCTGATTTTGTGTCAGTTTGTTTGTTGTTCATGGACCATTTCATAATCACTAAAAGAGAAAATGAAGGCTTTTGAACTTAAAACAGTTATTAGAAAATGGTTCATTTAAAAAAAATGTCAAGGTCTCACCATCAAAGAAGATTATATCAAACACTTAGTACACTCTCCATAGTTCTGGAAATGATTATAAGCACAGCATCCACAGGAAAATATTCTTGCATTGCATGAAGCAAATGGTTACCATGGAGGCGCTAGCTTGCTAAGAAAGAGGCAGGGGATTTCCTGAAGGAGTCTGTACACTTGACACTGCCCTTTCCCTGACCAGACATCTGTGCTTGAGAGTGCATATCCCACAGCCATTCAAGTAGTTCATCACAGACTGAAAAAGGTTGGTGCAGCTGGAAGTGACCAGTGGAACTGACTGATGCCCAACACAGAGGAAAAGCAAGACAAACATAAAGTCAGGTTGTTGCTGGTGCTATCAGAACTGGAACCTTATGTTGGCTGCTGGAGATGGCGACAAAACATTTATGAGAATGTTCAGAGTGCTACAGTTCCCATCCTCAGTTCAGCATTGTTGAAGACCTGCTAGTAAACAGGGTCGTGTTTCAGGAAGCACTTTAGATATTTTCAGTGTTTCAGAAAAATAATAGAAGGCAGGATTCATGGTAGAAGAAGCAGAGATCAGCCAGAAAGATGGTGGTCGTGGGTCTTTCAAGACACGGTGTGGCATAATGCAACTTAACAGAACAGTCAAGACACTGTGTAACATAAAGCAGCGTAACATACAAGACACCATGCATAAAGCAGTACAACTGGCGTAAAATGTTTTCCAGCAGATTTTGATGAGAGCAGTGGAGTACGAAGTGTTATGCTTCAACATATTAAGGTTGTCTGATTTGAGGGCCAACACAGAGAAAGTATTGACTCTAAAAACTAAACCTAGAGATGTGATACACCTGTCTGCTACCCCCAACTCTGACAGTGGACTATGCCATACCTACAGCCATTGACAGGATTGGATACAGTATCACCTTTATCCCATATAGCACTCTCTGTCTCTGTCTCTGTCTCTGTCTCTCTCTTCTCTCTCTCTCTCTCTCTCTCCAGAGAAGCTGTTTGTCTATTATTGAGACTGTTGCACTAAGCAGAAACCCCTTCAACTCCAGCAGTGACCACCCAGAGACCTCTACAACATCAGCATTCAAAAATAAAATGATAGATTCCACAAATGAAGTTACAACCTGAGGAAGGTGAGGCATGTGACTTAATCATGTCAACATGCTGATTCAGTACATCCAACTTTCTTAATGCTTGCAGTATAAAACACTCCCTTCCGTGTGTGGGTACCAGGGCCTATTTTTTTTTTGGGGGGGGGGGGGGTTGCGGACAGACCCCATACACCCTCAGGCATGTCACATGATTGGCTGAAAGGCACATATATCACAGCCTAGCTGTAAACCACAGCACAGTGTCTCAACATCTTTCTTAAGGGCAAATGCAGAAGAAGAAGAAGACATGCTGCTTCTGTCCATTGTCGGTGATAGATGCTCTTATAGCCAATATATCAGCACTCTCATGTCCATACACTCAAGCAAGATTTGGATAATAGATATTTTGTTACAGTCTCATGAACCTCCCACAGATCCAGTCACTGACTTCCAAAACTGAGCCTCTGATCCTGGAGCAGAGACAGATCAAGATCTGCGCTGCCTGTTTCGAGATCTCTGTGTGTCTGTTGCGAGTGTTGGAGATGGTGGCAACAGTGGCTCCTCAAGTCTTCACTGATTGGTCAAGACCTTCAGCCGAACTTTTTTTGAAGAGATTAATGCAGGTATTGCTAGCCAGTAGACATATTTTTATTGACTTCCCATGTAATGGCTGATGGCCTCATTATCACGCCAGCCACATTGACTTCCCATGTAATGGCTGATGGCCTCATTATCACGCCAGCCACATTGACTTCCCATGTAATGGCTGATGGCCTCATTATCACGCCAGCCACATTGACTTCCCATGTAATAGCTGATGGCCTCATTATCACGCCAGCCACATTTACTTCCCATGTAATGGCTGATGGCCTCATTATCACGCCAGCCACATTTACTGCTCAAGAATGATTTCTGAGGGCCTATTTTATACTAGTTTAACCTGGAAGCTGGTTGTTAACCCTGTCACCCCAGGAACGCTAAAAGAATGGGTCTTGACCCTAAGGAAATTCCCCAAACATCCTTTTGAGAAAGAAATGGTGGTTTTACACAGGTCTGTAATAATTTGTTTTGAAATGTATTTATCTGCGCTGTTAAAAAATAATTTTGAAATATATCAAGATATATAGCGGGAGTAATCAGTAAACATAAACAGAGTGGAACTAACCTTCCTCTAGCCTTGCATTGTTCCACATTTACTATTTTATGTTTTTTTTTTAAATCATACTAGATTTGTGAAGGCCAGTGGGATGTTAACAGCAGACTTGAGAGATTTCGTGAAACCTTTTTCTAATCTATCTTTGGGATATCTCTAAACTATTTGTAAACAGTCTATGAACTACCTGTTATATGTCTGTGACCATTTAGAATGTATCAATAACTGTTGATAAACTATCAGTGGCTGTTGATGAACTATCAATGACTGTTGATAAATTATCAATGACTGTTGATGAGCTATCAATGACTGTTGATGAACTATCAATTACTGTTGATGAATTATAATTGGCTGTTGATGAACTATCAATGACTGTTGATGAACTATCAATGACTGTTGATGAGCTATCAATGACTGTTGATGAACTATCAATTACTGTTGATGGATTATAATTGGCTGTTGATGAACTATCAATGACTGTTGATGAACTATCAATGACTGTTGATAAGCTATCAATGACTGTTGTTGAACTATCAATTACTGTTGATGAATTATAAATGACTGTTGATGAACTATCAATGACTGTTGAGGAACTATCAATGACTGTTGATGAACTATCTGTGACTGTTGATAAACTATCTGTGACCAGATAAAAATGTTCTTGAATGTGATTTTTAACAGGTAAGACATGGTTGCCATGATATGACATCAAACTTATAAAGACATGGTTATAATTGACACTGATCACTGACGGGAGGGAGCAAACTAAAGAGATCTAACTAGGGTCTCCAGACAATTGAAAAAAAAAAATAGCGTGGGTAGGGGGGCCCGAACTCCCATGTTCCAGCACTTCCTCACCTTGAGCCACATTTTGGATCCAGGTCTTTCTTTACCATTCCTTCTTCCCTTGTGCCAAGCCCTGTAGTTAATGCACGTTGCTGACATAAAGAACTCATGCAAGCTCTTGTTTTTTTCACAACTTGCAGATCCTCAGTCAGATCATGGCCAGAGTTACTATGAAGGATGGAGCTTTTGAAAATACTGTGGCATTTCGTATCCAAGGTAACAACCCTGTGACTAGTAGCAGACTTAATATGTTTGCTGGTGTGGCTTTCGGTCAGTGGGGTTGATGGGCAGGTTTGCTATTGTTAGGGCAAGTTTTCGCTTCTGAAAATAGTTAGCTGTTGCATTTCCTCCACATGAAGACTAAAAGGATGTAGTTCTGTCGCCCAGCTGCTCAGTTGAGTGCATGGTACGACACTATGAGCTGCTGATTTAATTTGGAATTCTTTTCGACTGTGCCCAGCATGGTTGGTTTTGTGAAACGGGTGGTTTGCTTTGTGAACTGCAGATTCAGAAAACCAGTGGCCTGTTGCTTGTGATGCCTTTTACGATTAATTGCATGTGCAGTTACTGCTGCCATTGTCAAAGAACTGCATTTCTAGTGCTGGACTGGTTATATTGGGACTTGTGACTGCTGCCTTGTGCATTTAAAGTGTCTTTGGTGTTGAATCTGCTACGACTACAGCTTGTGTCAGTTTTTCCTCACATGAGACAGTGATGGACATTCAGTATGGTCTTCAGTGGCACAGAAACGGAGCAACTATGGGGCGACCCATTTTCTGTGAAGTTGGAACTGTGATTACCTGATTAGTAATGTTGTTATTGTCACACTTCATTCTGTGTATTGTCAATTAAAAGAGTAAAAATAAGTATTAACTTTGTGAGAAAGAGAGATATAGTTCATGTGGCCAGCAGCTGAGTTTGAGGCAAGCCATAATTGGAAGAACATTCATTGACATGTCCGATTCAGGACTTTTATGATGACTGTCTAGAAAAGGGAACACCTTAGCATGCTTATCGGAACACTGGAAGTAGTAATACAATATCTCTGCATTATATTATCTCTTTAAATTCAATTCAGTAATTATCTTGTCTGTCCTGAGATGTCCTAGTTCAAAATTACCATGGTTTGAGACCAAAGAGATCATAATAATAACACTGTTTTAACAGATTTTGCTTCTCATTGCTGTATTGTTAACAAAATTAAAATAGATTTTGCACATAATTAGCAGCACGTACAGGTAATCATTTAATCAGTCAGTTATTATCATCTTGCATGATCACAGAAACCGTGGATCAATTCAGTGTTCTTGCTCCCCACTCCTTCATGTGGCCAAGCTGCCAGGTATAAATCTCTTTGCTTTTCCATCGCTCTCTTTCCACCACTCTTGCCACTTCATGTTGTTGTTGTTGTTGGTCCATCACAGGTGATGAGGACCACTCTTTCTTTCATCCATCATGAATTGAAAGTTTGTGACTCGGAGGTGATTCATGAGTCCAATGCATACCCAGAAGAGTCTAGGACAATGAGGGCATGGCACAGTGTCTGTAGATAAAAGGCCTGTTTGGCCTGTCTTCGCTGATCAGCTGCCCTTGTTCTAGATGCCTTGCGGACTGTTGCACAATTTCAGATATGTATGCCAGTGTATACCAAGATTTCTAGTCTATTCCTTCATCTGATAACATATCCGAAAAACACATTTGATTTGTGGCTTTGACAATTATGCATGACACATAACGCTGTTTACCTAATCTTCTGCAGGTCTGGACACAGTGACGCTGTATCCAATCCTGTCTGTTACCGTGGGTATCATGGCACAGCTCATTGTCAGGTGTGGGGGTAGCAGGTAAGTGTATCACATCTCTATTTTTTGTTTGTAGAGTACTGTTTGATTTAGTTTCTAGAGTATGGTTAATCTTTAACGTATTTTATTTGCCTCATTGTGCCCTTCTCATCAAGTTTTTCCATAGTCACTATATGTTAAAGCTAGTTTGTCCTGATAAGACACCCAGAACAAAAGTCTTGGTTGTCAGCATCCAAGCTGTTTAGTTAGTTTTGCAGATTTTGCAGTTTTTGTCAGCTTCTCAAATGGAAGTCTTCTTTGCTCAGTTTTAAATAGGTGTATGTGGATATAAATGTTAGACCAGTTGTGAATAAAGTAAAGGATATGTGCCTACATGCATATGCATACGTTAGATATATTGACATTAAAATCATAACTGGGTGTTAAGGTATCTCCCAATGTGGGTTCTGGGCCGCAATTATAGGGGAAAACAAGAATAGACCCATTGCCTCCCTAACAGGCATGTCATAAGTATCGACCAATTTCCTTACGAGTTTCCTTACAAGTTGGAGTGTATCTGCTGAGAGGCAAAGTACCAAGAGTCTGCATAAAAATACGCCACATCTGTAAAAGGAGGCACAAGACTCATATTCTGGAACAAGTGCAGAAGTGGATGAATAACCAGAGCTTTCCTCGGGATTTTTACAGTACATGAAGATAAAGAAGAAGAAGATAGAATAGTAAAGTTTTTTTTTTTGGTATGCAGAGTGCAGTAAAGTACCTATATATTTGATTAATTGTGAATAACCTTGTATCTGTGTTGTATGTTTACATGAGATCATCATTGATGAGCATGTTGTGTTTCATATTATGTCTTCTGTTTTACCCCACTCTGACTAGCCAGGAGAAGGCAACAAGGTCACTTCTGCTAGACTCTGGATTCTCCGTGGACTCTCTCAAGTTTGTCCTTGGAGAGAACCATGTCAACAAAACACAGAAGGACAAGTCTTTCTCCCTGAAAAAATGTAAGCTCGGCTGTGGTGTTATTGTTGTTAGTGTTGCTAATATGAAACCTCATCATCATCATCCCACAACACTGCGTGTCATTGGGACACCAGTTTCTGTTGTCTATTTTGTGATCAGCTCCCTCTGCCTTTGATGGTCAAAAGCAGTGGACTTCATGGTTGCATATCTCAGGCCTGTCCAGTCAATCACATTCTGTATCCAAGTCTTTCTTGGTCTCTTTAATCCCATCTACTGAGCCCTGTAGTATACAGAACATGAAACTTACCGCCATCATAATACAGCAGGTAGCATGCTTGCCTTGTGTTCGAATCCTCATCTCCATGTGTACTGATCTCCATTTCCATTTTGGGGGTAACAGAATAGACCCAGTTCTTCCTAATCCTTTCGGTCCAACAACTCGATAAGAAAATGGGTCGTTAAACTGTGGGAACGACACACCCCCCCCCCACAAAAAAAAAAACCACACACAACCATTTTACACAGCTCACTGATAATTTAAAAACAATATATATTTATCAACATTTTTTTTTTTTTATGTCTTTGAAATTTATAAAGAAATCTACTGTTTCATCTTTACCTTCACTGGCTGTTCACTGACATTTCTGGTTTTTCATTTACTTCTGAACTTGAGTTTTGTTCCATGACTAGAGTTTTGCGTGCACATCCATTTTACCTACTGGCTGATTTGGAAGCAAACTCTTGGTTACCTCTCAGGCAGATGTACTCAGACTTCGAAAGAAACACTCCTAAATGGGCAGCTTGTACAACATGTCTGTTATGGGGATGTGCGTTGTTAGGGGGCGGTGCGTCTATTCTGTTGTTTCCCCACAAAGGGGGCCCCTGGAACCAACACAGGGATATAAATATATATATAAAGGAGTAATCAGTGAACATGAACAGAGGGAAGTATTAAATGGAATACATTCCCTGTTGCCTTCAAAAATATGAATCGGAAAGCTCATGCTTTTATCCTTAACCTCATCACCGAGGTTCCTTGGGGGTGGGGAGGGGTCTGATGTCGGTATGGCTTTAAAATGACCATTTGTTTCACAAGAACCCCCACCCTTTACATGCCATTTTTAGAAAATATATTCACATCCTGACCTAAATGCTGCACAGGCGCAAACACAGTCAGTGGCATTACCTATATGTCTCGTAAATACCTCACTTTAAAAAATGTCAGGTAAGTGGCATTTATAGGGAATTGGACCCGACCAAAAGTGCCGGGTTTGCGGCTTCCTAGGGCCAAAGCCTTAACAAGCGTGTCATAGAAATTGACTAATTAAGAGTTTACTAAGAAGTCGAAAGGTGCAGTTATCACAGCCTAGCTGTAAACATCAACACGGTGTGCCAACTACCCTTTTCAGGGTAAATGCAACAGAAGACTAATCCCAATGAGGGGATCTTTTATATTGCCCTGGCTTACCAAGTTGGTCTAGGTTAACAGTACCACCCGAAAATGCTGTGGATAACATCATCACTCAACAGGTACCAGTTGGTCTGTAAATATGGACCTAACACTCGTTGCCTAGTGAGCCTCACAACCAGGAAATGGGTCTTTTACTCACACTTTGTAGTTAATTGCAGAACCAACTACATCATTAGGGTATTTGTGGGGGGGGGGCACTATTAGGGTTTTTTAGGCAAATTTTATGTTTAGTAGTTTGCCATTGCTTTCTGAATGGTCGGTTCTTGATACTGGTCGAAACCAATGCAAGGCGGTCTGCTGCCAATTCAACTGCATCAAACCCAGCACTCCGGCATTACGAAACCTGTTTGCAGTACCTAACTGCCACATTTCACCAACTTGAATTTATGTGTGCCACATTTATCACTGAAAGCCAGCTCTTCGGCTTCAGAGGTGAAACTTCCAGTCTTTTAGAGGATGGACTGCATATGAGACTTTACAGCAGAACATCTGAGAGAAAAGGGAGAGGAAGACCAAGAAAGAGACGGATAAATGGTGTAGCTAAAACCTGCAAAAAATATGAATAAATCCATCACCCAAGCTAGACATATACATAAAACTACGGAACTGGGCTACAACCTGGTATCGATGAGATGACAGAAGAAGAAAGAAGAAGAAGAAGAAGAGGATTTTGGCCAGTTACTGCCTTTAAGTTTGCACTGTTGGCGGGAGAGGAGGGATTTGAGCCTGGGGATTTAGGGCAACATGGCTAGTGCTGTTACCACGGACTGCGCAGGTTAGGTTTTTATTTTTGCCCTCAATAGAAAAAATCAGTGACCATACCAGAGATTCAAACGCCTCCCTATAAGAGCCCAGCATTCTTAACCGTTGGGCCAGCCACTAGAGGATTGACAAGCAGTGAGCAGAAATGTGATCTTCTTCTTCTTGGCATTCGCCACTTCGGCAGAAAGTTCTGGTTCTTCATCCAACTCTGGACTTTAGACTTGTTCCAGAACCTGAGTGTTGTGTGCACATTCGTTTTACAGATCTGACTTATTTTTATGCAGACTGTTAGTTCCTTGCCTCTCGGACAAACACACTCTGACTTCGAAGGAAACCCCCTAATTAGTCAGGAAACTCCCCCAATTAGTCGACTCATACGACATGATTGTTGGGGAGGCAGAGGCTCTCTCTATTCTTGTTTTCCCCACAGTGGGGCCCCTATAACTCACATGGGGGGAAATGAGATCTAATTTGATGAAATATGATTTTCAGTTGATGAAATCAGCGCTGAGGAAATAGAGGATGTGGAGAAATTGCTGGCATATTTGTCTCATCAACAAGTGAGCCTAACAGCGTCAGAAGAGGTAGAGAAATAAGAGAGTGTGTGCTTGTCTTGTTTTCTTGCAAAAGAGATATTGTTGTTCTATTGCCTTTTTTTTTTCTATTTTTTTTTTTTTGGGTTATATTTGTTTTACACAATATTTTAATACCATAGTGTTGCCATTCCAGAGTCAGTTTATTTTTGTGTTGTGTTTTGTTTTTCCTTTGTTTATGTATTGTAATCGGTTCTGTAAAGGTGATATTTACTTTGTTTTTTCCTATTTGTTTTTTTAAACGACTTTCATACACTGCACTGCAGTGACTTGAGTGTGTGTATGCCTGTGTGTGTGAGTGTGTGTATGCCTGAGTGTGTGAGAGAGAGAGAGAGAGAGAGAGAGAGAGAGAGAGAGATTGTCTTGTTTTGTCACATAAGAGAACCGTATATGTCTACTTTTGAGAACATAGTCTTACAGTGAATCTCTGCACCCATCAGCGATGCAGACAGCGAGGAACTGAGAGTGAGAAGTAACAATGAAATTCATTGTTTGTTAAAAGTGCCACTGATCACTGGTATCATGAGGCTCATAGAGAGAATGGCAGGTAACAGCGAGACAAAAACTATTTACACAAAGAGTTGAATAGGAGTAGACTATGAGGCAGCCTAAGAAGAGGATGGAGTGATAATATACAGGCAGATCTATAAACACTTGGAGTTACCAATTGGAAAGAGAAGGCCAGTCACATAGATCAAGGGAAGCATCAGATATCTGCAGCAGTGAACTTCAAGGAATGGTGAAGAAGAAGAAAGGGGATATAAATCTGTCTGCCTGTACTGTTTTATTATTAAGAGAGTGGGGGAGGGGGGGATATATTAGTTTCGTATACACAGGGGAAACATCTTCATATACATGTGGAAATGTACCCCGTGATAGATACTGTATGAGAGAGTTTCAAATGAAAGCTTAAAATTGTAATTGAAATTACAGTAACTATACAGGTTTTCTAACCTGTCAGTATTGTTGACAAGGATGTCAGGAGTGTTAAGCACATGGCATCACATTGCAGACACACTCACGATGATGTCATAATGACAGTTTAAAGATTGGTGTTCCAACAGAACACATGCACCAAAGGGTGGCAGTGTTCTGTTACATCCGTTGTTTTAATCTGTGAAGGGGTGAAACCTATAGAAATCCATCGACGAATGAAGGTCCAGCATGGTGATTAATGCCTGTCAGTCTAGCTAGTGAATGAGAGGAGTAGGAAGTTTTAACATGGCATGACAGATAAGGTTAGCATGAGCACA